AATTTTTATTTTTATTTTTATTTGCATCTCAATTTTCTGATCAGGTCACTCAATTAATTATTTACAATTGAACTTAATTTTTTATTTTTATTATTAATTGCTAAAATGATTTGATGGAATATTTAAATAGTTGTTTTGAAAATTTGACCAATGAGCTTTTCGACATATTATTTTTGTAGAAATTGAATGCAAATGAATTCATGATTATTCCCCAAATTGATAAAGATGTTTTAGCTATTCAAATATTCGCAATTATTTTTGAGACTACATTCCCTACTTAGTGATTGGATTCTTGATTCCTTTGGAAGTTCGTTAAGTGCAAATATGGTTGAGGTGGTGATTTACACTAAAAATTGGTTGCATAGTAATAAGAAACCTATAGTGATTCGACAATATTTGAATGAGGTATAAGTATTGGATGATTCACAAAAAGTTAGAGAATGTATTATCGTATTTGATCTTTCTATTCATTTTTTTTTAGTTGTTTTATATCATTTAACTATAATAAATGAATTTAAGTATTGTATTCTTATTTTATGGGGAGAATGAATCATGTGTTACAATTGTAGATGATGCATCACTTATTGTCAAATAAGAGGATAAAATTTAATTTTTCTATTATATTGTTGAATTATAATGATTATAATGATAGAATTTTGATTTGTAAAATTTATAATGATACTATTTATGTTTCAATGTACAATTTTAGACTATTATGATTTAACTTATTTGATATATATAACCAAATCATAAAAAATTGTTTGAATTGGTATAGTTCAGAATTTGAAGTGGTTTGATTTGAAATTTTTTTACAAACTATTCAAACAGAACCGTGTTCACTCTTATTGCATAGTGTTACAAGAATTTGATATATAGGATTGTTAGCTAAGTAAGATAAACTACCAAGGTCTTGCCGAAAGAAGTTGAAACTCACATTTAACTCTCCGAAGTACTATATTATTTGGATAATTTGCAAAATGTTGGATCTTGAGACTTGAAAGACGTAAGGATCTTTCTCAAGAATTGACTATGAGTTGTAAAAGCTCCCCTAGAAATTGAAAATTTGAATACTTGTCGTACATTAACCTACTTGACAATCCTATAAGGAACATTGTGTGATTTGTATATTCTGCAAACTTGGGATCTTATGGATGTTTGTATCTTTCTAGTCTTCCCCAAAAAAATAGGGAATTTTTCATAGATGTCATTAAATTTAAAAATATTCAAAATTTGTCACTTTTTTTTTTTGAAATTATTATTCATTGATTTGTTTGGTTTTTTTTTTTTTCAAATCTTTTGAAATAAAGATATCGATATCCTCTACAAAATGTTGTGAAGGATTTTATATTTAATAAAGTATTGAGTTACTTATTTGGGAAGATGTCATGTTGTATATGAGAATTGATGATCACCATTAATATTCTGAATAATTTCTTCCAATCAAACCCAATAATTGTTTGAAATATTGCCTCTTTAATGATTCACTATACCAATTATTTGGAAAGAAAATTTTGTCATTTCGTAGTATAGTATTGATGACTACACTTAATATTATGAAGGATTTGTTACAATGACACATACATTAAATACTTCCCGTCAGTTGTGACAGTTCAATTATCGAATTCGACATTTCGAAACTGTCAAGATAGACATTTCAACTGTCGAATTGACATTTGAAAATTATCGGAATAAACATTTCCACCGTCGATTTCACCTATTTGCTATTGTATGAATTTTAAATATTCGAATATAATACTTTTATAATATTAAATGTTGACATATTGATTTTGCAGAATTTTTACCATTGCAATATCAACTTTTCAGGTATAAGCAATCATTTGAGATTTATCATGTCGCGTGTGGAAAAGTTTGTTTAGGTAGATGATAAATGAAAGTAGATAAGGGCAAAACCGGCTCAATCGTAGCTGCGACAAGTATCACACTAATTGGACTTATGCTACGATTAAAGGGCGGACTTGGTATTCTTGATCCCCGCATTCAAATTGAATTGAAGTTCAAAGTCCCGGACATGAATATACCTCCGGCTAAAATA